GTCAGACACATTGAAAGTTTTGAATGCCCAAAAAAGGGCGTGAAGCAGCGCAACAAATATTCATACCCAGGGGTGGGGCTTGGGAGGTACTATACAGAAATGATGTTAGAAAAGCTAAACTTAATTTTCTCTTAGATACATAATACATGAATATATAAGACATTGTTTTAAAATAAAAAATAAAAATAATTCAATTAGCAATTTCATGTTTGAATAATTTAAAAATATATATATTAAATATATATAGATAATATAGACTATGAAAATAAACATTACAGATAGTATGATAAATTAATCTGTAAAGATTCTAGTATATAAAACTCTGTGAGTTACCTGAGCTATTACGTTTCTTATCAATCATATTTGTAAACACAGCTGAGTCATTTATTTCGCACTTATTCAGTAGCAATTGGATAACATTTAAGTTATCTAACTTGTACCATAGATACAGCGTCAGCTCTTCAAGCACTTTCAGCTAAACGATGCAGCACTCAGCAAAAACTTCCATGATAATAATAACAACGCCTTTGGCTGCAAATATGTGCATTTACTTATATTTCTATACATTTTCAATGCAAGGTAGAGCGTGGAGCGTAAAGCATGGAGTAGAGCGTGGAGTAGGAAGGCAACGTAGATAATAATGCGGAGACAAGCCAAGCGAGAGGCAACGACGTCCTAAACACTTCACGTCATTTCCAATAAACTTGTCACAATAGCACTGCCGGTGGCCGTCGGTGGAGGGATGACTGCAGTTGTAGTAGGAGTGCGCACTTTTTTTTCCCAGATACAGTTGCAACTTTACGCAAGCGAGCAGACGCTTTAGTGATATTTGCTCAGTTTGTTGTAGTCGTGTATCCGTTGAAAGCGCATTCAACGTATTTAGGCTACAATAGCGCGTAATCTATGCCACTCGACTTGCAACAAGCAGCAACGCAGCTCCAGCAGAGGCAGTGGCAGTTGCAACAACTGCGACTGCAATTGCGGCGCCATCATTTTGCACAGCATTTTGCATCTAGCAGATACTTTTACCGCACAACACAATACAGCTTAATGCCGAAAAGTGCACAGCGCATGAATTTCATTTTATTTGCCTTGCATTTTTATGATTGCTATGCAAATGCAGCTCAGCCCTGGGCTAGCTAAAAACTAAAACAAGAAAGAGCAGTTATGTGTGGACTACCACAGATTAAGATACCCTTTACGAAAGTTATACATCCACATTTCATCCTAGATAAATAGAGGCTGCCATGATTTTCAATGCAGCATGACCTTAGAGCAGTTCAAACTCTGCATTTCCCACTGCTAGAGTATCCCAACAACTTCCATCTGCAACGCAACGAGGCGTGGCATCTTTTGTTCCGCCCACACTATAAAAGAGCAGCACAAAAAATAAAAACAAAATCGAATAGCGAACTTGCTATGGGGGAGCTAGAGTGAGATTCAAAACAATTGTTGTCCAACTCGCACAAAGAAATCACAAAACATAAACAACAACAAATAACAAATAAAAACAAAAACGCTAAAAGCGGTCAAAGAAAAATTCTTAATACGGCACACACTTGCAAGAAATGTAGAAAATATGAAACAAAAGTTAAGAACTTACCTTCGTTGTTAACGGTAGTGGTCTCCATTGTTGTTTATTTGTTTGTGTTTGGGAATTGGACGAAAAATAAGATAAAGGCTGGTTACTGTAAATGAAAATAAATAAAAAAGCACATAAAACAATTGATTAAAAAAAATTTTTTTTGTAAGCTGAGATGTAACAGAAATATTTTATATTTTATCTTTACTGTCTATCAGAAGAAAAGTATAGGAACAATTACCGATAGGCTATACTTCCGGAACGAGAGGTTCTAAAAAAATCCTTAAATGTCTAAGCAACATAAATAACAAAATTTGGGACTAGCTCGAGCGAGTATTCAACAAATAAAATTCTTTATAGCCAACATAATTTTAATCTGGCATTAAGTTCATACTAAACATAATTGATGGACTTAAGAACAAGGTGAATATAAATTAACCAATTGAACACCCTCGTTTAGCACATACGCTGCTCCGTTACAAAAACTGCCCACAGCTTTAGGCGAAATGCATAAAACACTCTAGATAGACGCCCTTGCAGAAAAAAAGTAAAAAAAAAACCGAGTGCAAGGAAGAGCCAAACAACGGCAAAAAAAGAGCAATGCCAATAAGAAGAGTGACAGGCCGTAACAGCGGCAGCTATAACAAGCTCTCGCTCATTACTATAAAATAAGCAGAGCAACAGCAACAACAGGGAAAAGAACTGCACTGGAAATTGGAAGCAACAAAGCGTGGGCCAAAAAGGAAAAGGAAAAAACTGCGCCTGCTGTCAGGGGCAACGACAGCAAAACCAACAACAACTACAACATTGAATTGTAAAGAGCTGCAAAGTTATTGGCGTCGGCGTTTTGCAGCTGTAATTGTTGTTGTTGCTATTGCAATTGCGCAGCAGCAGCAGCAGCAGAAAAAGGGACTGCAACGAACCGGATAAAACTCTTTCCAGTTTCCAACTGCTGCTGCTCTTTTTCATTTTTGTTGGTACTCACCAGATTTATTAACTACAAATATTCACAGAATATCCTACGTACACCTTAATATGACATCCAAAATAAAATAACTTCTTTATGGGTTCACTTTAACACAAAGAAAATCTATTGAGCTGCACTCTTTTTATCCACTTGCACTCTTTGGACTTTATTTTATTACGGCGCACAGCGCTATGTAACGATCGTGGTGGCGCAAGTTTAACGACTGAACGACTGAGGCGCCCACCAGGCTGCTTTGTAGTTGATCGCAGGAGAAGCGACACAATGGGCAGCATTAAACAAATATGTGATGAAAGTAAATCAACTCACTCAAACGGCTTACCAGTATTAAGTGCAAAGCAAAAAAAAAAAAAAAAAAAACTTATTTAACTACAGAACAGCGAACGTCTGCTTTTATTTTTAGTCTATTAAAGAATAAAATAATAATATTAATTTTGTATTTAAAAACGCATAGTTCAATTGCGATCCACAGTGCGACATTGACAGCTGTGCTCTTCACTTTGTTGTTTTGTTTTTGTTCTTTTTTTTTTTTGCGCGTGCTAAGGGAAGCTGCTCCAGGCGAGTTTTGCTTGCTTGCGCAAATGTGTGCGAGTGAGATGACAATTGTGACACTTTTTTGTTATTCGCCACAAACGGTTAAAATTCAAAAAGCATTTTAAAGTAAAAACGGTTGTTAGGTAAACCGGTACATGGCGCTCTTAGAGTAAAACGAATGCCAAGGGGCAAGAGAGAGCGAATTAAGGTGTTGAGCATAATTTTTGGTAGCGTAGACAAATATCCCACAGCTTAATTGGGTAACTTCTTTTGTATTGCTGCTCCGGTCTTGTTGTTGCTTTAATGAAATCATCCGCTTAGATTTGCAGAAAATAATATGTATGTATGTACATATGTAGGTGAGCAAGTGTGCGAGAAGAATTGAGTGACTTTTTAACTAGCTTATCTGTTAATGCATTCTCGGCTGTTGGGCTATAAATCAATAAATAGCAGAGTGCGTATAGACAAGAGATAACTGTCGTTTCTATACTTACACGTATGTGTGTATGAATGTATGTGTGCTGACAGCGCAAGTGCAGTGAACTCAAAGGCATTAAGACTTAATAAGCTGAGACCCACGCTAAAAATTAAAATTAAAAACAAAATTTCAAACAAAAAACAAAATAAAGTGCCAGCGAAATTTTCCACCTACACGCCCAACGCCTCAATTAATTTACCTTTCTTCTTTCTCATTAGATTCGAGAGGTCAAAACAGTTGAAATTTACTGCAGCCACGCAGAGTATGTGTGTGTGTGTGTGTTTTGTATATATGTATGCTGCATGTAAGTCTGTTAGACATATCAAATTGAGATCACATAAAAAGTGAAATTTGATCGAATCGCTATAAAACTTGAAATTGTACATACGCATAGCAACCCCTGCTAAGACGCAGAGGAGGGGGCGTGTCGCCACTTTGAAACACGTTTAGGTGCGTAGACAGACGTTATCTCGCTGTAGAGCGCCAAAACAAATTGCGCGACAATTTTCATTTTCACTTGGCGGTCATAAAAAACATGCGTTCAATTTGCATTTTTTTTTTCTCTCTCTTATTATTATTAATTACTCTGTCGGCTGGCGCCGTCGACGTGTGTGAGAGCGACTAGAGCGCCCGATACTGAGCGAGAAGGAAGTTAAAGCTTTGCTATGTTCGCCCCGTTTCACCTTTTGCGGCTGAACAAAGGCAGAAAGCAAAGCGCCGCTTGAAACAAAGATGCTGCTCGCAGCTGATTCACATTCAACCAACAACAACAACAGCAACAACAAGAAAGAATGGTAGGCAATAAAAACTGTAATTGACATACAATGTGCGTTGCTGGCTTTAAAAATTGCCACCCGAGATCAGCGTCTGCTGCGCCTTATTTGGCACTGGTTCAAGGCAAAGCTGAGGCATCGCATCCCATCCGGGTTTTAAGAAGTTCTGATTGGAGCTGGTGTCAGAAAATATATACATAATATGTACATATGTTAGTTAAGCAAGCGGAGAATGAATGCCTTCCAGAGAGTAAATAATGTATGTTTATGCTAAAAAAAAAATCAATTTGCTAGGCAATGTATATATATATATACATTTATATTGGGAGAGAGAGAGAGAGAAAGAGAGAGAGAGAGAGACAGACACACGGAAAAAAGTCGATCATACAGAGGCTATAAAAAGAATATACAAAATTACAGAGCTTTCGAACTAAAAGCTTTTGATTTCAAAAAGAGCGTTAGTAGCAATACAATTTGAATGATTGATTTGAAAGAATTTCAATAAATGTAACGAATGGTAAATTAGAACTAGTTAAAAATTAAATAAAAGATTTTCTTTAATATAAATAAATGTAAAAATATAATTTAATTTTCTTATTAGATCTCATAAAATAATATTATATGAATAATAATATAACAATAGTATAGTATAATGGAATATAATAATAAAGGCATAAGAGTTTATGTATAAAAATAATAAGTAAAAATTATTTTGCTCATCCACATTTTTCGCAAGAATATTTGTTATAATTTGCCTTATCTGAACGCACAAACAACGTATCGGAATAATTACCAACGACAACAAAATGATCATTTACCAATTGATGATTGTTTCGAGCCAAATTGTGCCAGCCATCTGTCTCTTTTACCATATCCATATTCATGTTTATATATTCAATGGCTCGCGCCTTCAACTGAAGTGCATTGAATAGATCAGATAAGATAAGCGTTTCAGCTGCATTATCTAGGCAGAGTTGCGTGAACAGCGATTTCTCACACAAGGCTTTTAATTTGGCCAGCTTGAATTTGTCAGCCGCTTGGAGCAGTTGCATGGCCAGATTATCCAGATTGGGCGTCTGATCGGTGTAGATGAAACGCAATAAGTCGATCAAGACCTGAGGATCCACGTCGTCAAGGATCACGCGATTTCGTGAGTGCTGATCCGTTTGAAACATCGTCTCAAAGAACTGACTGCGAGCTGAAAAAAAAAAAATAATTGAATTCCAAGTCTCCGAGTATTTATTTCGTACTATCCACTCACCTGATAATATATTCTTATGTGCATATATCTCATGGCCATTTGATGAAACCTTAATATCACTGTACTGCTCATTATCGAATAGTTTGCCGAAATCTTCAGCTACCTTGGTGTCCGGCACTTTGATCGGATTCATTTTTCCGCACGTGCACGCTGCGTCCGTAATCAATCGAATTTGACAAGCGATTGTTAACTTGTCGTGAGGTAAATAATTATTATCCGCATTGAAAAGTTTGCAGCAATATATGAAGGGCTCAAAGCAAACTGTCTTATCGCTGCTCAAGTTGAACAACTTTTTTTGTTGCGTCTCCTCATGATTCATTATGGCACATGTGACCTTAGCCTCTCCATGAAAATACAATCGTTCGACCTGGTGTACGGACAGCTGGAAATAATCAGATACGTTATCCCCCTTCCTGATGAGTGCCAGCTTCAAACGCCATTTAAATTCGTTCTCATGCTCCCCGATGGGAAAATCCATAGATTCCCAGTTCTCTCTCAATTGCCAAGCTTCGCCAAAATTTTCGATTGTCCAGACATGATTGAATTTCACAATTTTTGGCTCAACAGTTGACCAGTCGTTCGATTCATGCTCAAATTTGTCAGAGATGCGAAACATATTTATATTATTATTATTTATTTTATTATTATTATTTTTTAATATTATTCGGAAATAATCAAAATGTCTGGCTCTCTGCTGTAGATATAACTTCGCTGACTTTGCTTTCGCACTGTCAGAATTTGTTCACTTTCTGACGAGTTCTATTCGCTCACAATATTTTAGCCATTCGCTGAGAACCCTAAAAATCTATTGAAATGATATCAGACCGGAATGCTACCATTTTAATTTTATTTTATTTTTTTTTTTTTTTATATACACATTTTTTAAAGATTTTTATAAGTTCAATAAGAGTAAAATTGATTTCAATATCAAAACAAATAGAAACATTCTATATACAATAGAAAGAAATATTAATAATAACGTAACGGAATTTCACTAATCAATGTCCAATGGTAAATTAATTGGTCAAATTATACTTCATTGTTATACCACTGTTATTATCTCTTTAAATATTTTTAAACTTAACGATTTTACTAAAAATGACTGCGAGTCCTTCCATAACCGTTGTTTGCATACAGTTTTCTAAAATTAAACTATATTAATTAACAGAATAAAGTAAAAAATTGTTAACTTACGTGACCCAAGCTTCTTAGAGCTGTCCGTTGAATTCACAGTTGAATTGCGCATTCCATTCGGAAATGCTGTTATTGGGAGTGCGCACATTATTTACGCCATCAAAGACCGAATCTAATTGGTCCATAATTAAGTTCCACTCACTGCCAGACACTTGATTGTACAAATCCAATTTACTTTCATTCAGCTGATGCTGCATCGAGTGCACACTCGTAGAGGTGACATCAGCTGTATAGTTGTTAAGATTTAAACAGATGCGGCCGAAGCAATAACAAATATTGCCGCCCCGCGTAACGAGCGTTTGTTTTGAGTTGCCATCGATAGCTATCGATAAGTGCAGTGTGCTGCCATTCGCAGAGCGACGTAAAATTCTCCATTGTTGTGTTTGAATGGGATTTTGTGCATTTATCAATGCCAGAACCTTATCGTCTGGCAGATGCGCACTATTGGGAAAGTAGCCTTCAATAATATGGCGTGGTATCTGATTCTCCTCCAGCAAATCGATTTCCAGTCTGCTTCGCTTGCGTATCAAATTAAAATGGTCTTTAATCCAGTTCGCGGTCTTCTTATTGGCGCACACCAGCAGCAGCCACTCCGACTGCGGTATGCAGTCGTCGTATTGTGGGCGCAAATTTGTTTTGTTATTTACAGTTACATCCAATATGGCCTCCTGCAGTCGGGCCATCTGTTTCTCTGTGAGCGGAGCCGATCTCTTCGATGCTATGAAGCCAAGCTGCACTTGACTGTTGCCAGTATTAGAATTTGAGCTTCTGCTAGAATTCGGTTTGGAACTTGGAGCACTTGAAGGTGCCTTTATATTCAGATTCGAATTGGAATTGGTGTTTGGCGCAGTCTTTGTTGTTGTGGCTATTGCTGTTGTTCTTGCTGGTGCTGGTGCTGCTGATGCAGCTGCAGCTGTTTTGGATCTCTTCTTTGATTTCTTCGGCGCTTTTGCTGCAGCTAACTTGCGTCTGTTCACTTCCGACATTTCCTTAGCAATTGCGTTTCGTAGACGTACCCGTGCCTTCTTTGTCATTTCATTTAAATTCACTTCAATTTTTAACTGCGCATTGACAGCTCTTTGGTGCGCTTCATCTTCTAAGGCATCCTTATTCTCCTTAACGTCTTTCTTGGCGCTGCTGGCAGTTAAGATTTGCTTAGGCATTTTCTGTCCTTTTCTTTAAAATTTTGATTTCGGCATTTACTCCAGATTTTATTTACAACTTGAAAGCGTGCAAATACTATTGTGAATATGGTTGGTGCGCTCTATCGCTGCGAATGGCATTAATCGTTACGAAGCACAATTGTGAATGACAATTTGTTTGAAATCTCCGAAATTTGTTTGATTGGAAGTTTTGTTGATGGCTTTTTCATTTTAAATAAAATATATATATTTAGTAAAAATGTAGTTTTCGAATAGTTTTCAGAAGAAAACCTGTTCTAGAAAATTTGACTTCAATTGGAATATCGATTCGAATGGAATTAGACTTTAAATTGGAATGCCTATCTGTATTATTCCCTTGATTGGAACTGCAGCACAAGTTGGCAAATCTTTTACTTTAATTAGAAGTCTAATTGGAATGAATCTTTGAACTGCAATTGAAGTACGTTTCTTCCAACTCTTTTTTGAGTTTCTTACTTGAACAAGAACATTAATTATCCATTATTTAATAATTATTATTATAATTTGCCTTTAGTAAGATGAGTTTTTCTACTGAATAATCGGCTAGATTTGTTATTTGATTATATCTGTTAATATGCGGTTTTGTTAGTGCTCCCTCATTTGCCGATGTTAGGGGCGTGTTATATTTGAGTGCCAGGTCTTGCAATAAAGGATACTTGGCGAGCGTCTCAAATGAGGTGCATGGATCTTTTAGATAGTCCAGAAGCTGTGACTCGGCATTCTCTATTAATTTCGTGGCAGCTGGCAGAGGCGAGGGCTGCGACATATCCAAATCGCTTGTCTCACAAACATCATCTGCTCAATAGAAGAATATCTTAATCATTATATTTATAACATGTATAATTTAACTTTACCCATTTCATCGAATTCATAGAAATCATCCTTGCCCGTTGTATAAGCCGTTTCCATGGCAGCACTTTGGCCAACATTCTCTGTAGCCTTCGCATGCCGCACAACCTCTGCAATTACCATTTGTTGTATTTCCCTCGCGCTGCGCTGTTCATGGGCCGAAAGCTTGGCTAAGACATTAAGCCAACGCATTTTGATGCCAGGACACAGAACAGATGCAATAATTGCATGATTTGCCTCTGCAGCCAGCTGAATATAGTTGGAGAATCGCTGCTTCAGTTCCACTTGTAGCTCAAAGGCCAAACTCTTCAGGTCGATCAGTTCCAAGACATCTGAGACTCTCTTCAGTTTAACGCAAAGCGAAGTCAAGGCAGGAATTAGACAGCCATAGTATAAATTGCTCTCCATGCGCAAAAACTCGATTGTCGTTGCTATAGGTGACATTAGGATGCGATATTCCTCGAGATATTGCAAATCACTGGCAGAGAAACAGGAGTTATGCAAAGCCAGCTGACTGCAAAGCTCACCAAGTTTATCCTTGTGCAACAGAATGCAGCAAATGCTATCGTATATGGAAAACCAACGATTTCTAGAGGGACACACTAAAGCCTCACCCAAGAGGGCGGCAATGATCTGAGCCGATGGAGAGCAAAAACATTTGCGCCACAGTGCACTACATTTGGCCATGATCTAGAAGAAAGAGAAGGGAATGAAAAGAGTTCTTATTGGATTTTATTCTTGCTTACCTTCAAGTGTCGTTCCTTTAGGTTTTTATCCCTGGACAGCAATTTCAAGAAATCAGTAGAGGCTACAATATTTAGTATTTCGTTTGCACATTCCATTCGATTTGGTAAGGCCTCGCAGATGAGTTCCTTTAGGTCATCGACATTTATATGGTCTTGATTATTTATTTCCTTTTTCAAATCTATGCCGAATTCTTGAAAGGCTTTTGAGTAATTTCTATCATTATTTGTGATAGATCCCACAATTTTTAGATTATTGAATGCGTACACATTGTTAATTTTGCGTATCGTCTCCAATACCTGAGCATAATCCCCAGAGAAACGCCTGCAGGCCAGGGCAGCTGAATGCCTCTGAAACTTCTCGTCCAGCCAATGACAACTATAAACGAAATAGTTGTACTCGCTGCTATTTGAGCAGATGTTTGTCGTAATGCAAACGTATTTCTGGCTCGCCAGCTGCTGTTTAATACTGTCAGACATTTGCAGAAAGCGCTCATCCAAGTGACTCTTCAGTCTCGCCTGATTCATCACACGTAAATTGGTATTCTTGAAGAGATTGAGGAAACTGGGAGACTCCACAGTTGCCAGGGGCAGGGCATTATCTATTATATAGCACATGACGCGGTGCTCAAACGAATCGCTCTGCTGCTCTTCCGTTGCGGCCTCTTCTATGGCGTACTTCGAGCCAATGAAGGCAGCGTGAATTTTCACATGCTTCACACGCAAATGTTTGATGAAGTTGGAGGTGACTGTGAGGAAGCCTCTGATGCGTGTGCCGCACGCGTTGCAGGTGGCGATAATTGCACCTGGTTTGGCTCTCGGCTCCTTTACCTGCCAGCAAAATAAAGATGAACTAAGATAATATTTTATATATATGTATTTAGATTCCTCACTCTTTGAATACTGCCAAAATATCGAAATACTTCTGGCAGCCTCGTTTCCTTTTTATCCTTTTCCATTGTGCGTTGTGGTTTTCTTTTCTCCGGTCGCTGCAAGAATTTGGCTTTTCGAATATCCGGATCCACATCGAAATTTGACGTAAACTAAAAGTTGAATAGAGTTGGGATGGAATTAAAATTGATGTGACAATAATAATTAAAAATTAAGTTACGTGGCTTAATTGGGTAAAGGGTGTGTAGGGAAAAATTAACGAGGGTCACCTAAAACATTTCCAATGTTGATATGAAGTTAAAGATGAAGAAAATAAATATAAAAATTAAATTATTAAAAATATTAAAAAATTAATAATACAAAATAAAGCTTTCAAAATTTAATTACAAAAATTCTACTTTAAATCAAAAACATTTAGTTTAACATATATACATAAATAATTAAAATTTAAAATTAACCAACAAAAATTTTATTCGTTCCTAATTTGCAATATATTTATATTAAAAATCTGTATATATTTTTGTTTCCTTTTTCATTTAATTAAATTGTTATACATTTTTATCATTTACTTTATTGGTTTAAGTACGTTGCAAACAATTCATTTTACTATTAGCTGAAATACTTTAATAACCACCCTCGTAACTACTTAAGTAATTACATGTATAGTAATTACTTTTATCTCCATCTATATTTTCTTTTCGCTGGCAGCGTTACCAACTTTCCCTATTGTTTAATAATAAAATTAGATGTTGAAGACTTACCTCTGTTCTCTCAGAGCTCGTTTTAAGTTGCTTCTTTGTCATTTCCCACGCGAAAATCCCGTCCTGTTGCTGCTCTGTGCTGTTTTGTGCCTGTTCCCAATTTGATTGCTCCATAGCGAACTGCAGGTCCACAGCTTCCAGCTTGATGCTGTTTGTATCTTTGACTTGGCAAATGTTAAGCATTGTTTTTAGCTCTTATTGTGGTGGACTGACATGGATTGCCCAAGCTCAGCATTTGTATTTATGCTCGTTTAAACACATAAACAAAGTACTCTGTAAATAGTAATTAGCTACTGCAGACTCGGGCATGCCAACTCGCTCAAAATTGAAGATACGTATGTATGCTAATAAGAGTGAGTGGCAATGGAAATAATATGCGGTTAGAGTGCGCGCCAATGTTAAAATTCAAATTTGGTAAATTAAAAGTTGATATATGGAAAGTATATAAATAATTGATTATAAATTGCGATGTAAACAATGAATGCTGAATCATTGATAAATACAGTTATTAGGAATAATTTTCTTTACTAGAGACTAGAATTAATATAAAATTAAGACTAACTCCAGAATTAAGCACTGGCTGGCGGCTTGGCTTAGGAATAATAAAATTAATAATAATAATAACAATATAGTATAGTATAAAACTAATCACTTTATATAAGATTATGTATTAATACATATCTCAATAAAAAAGATTCAATAAATTAGACTCTTATAAAGCAGATAAATAAAATAAACCTCAAATACCATATTAATATAAACATTTAACCTCCTAAATATTTATTTATAATGTCCACGACCTTTTCACATTCAGAGAATATGTACACGCATTTATTACTAGTAGTAATGATATAAAAACAATATATACTAGGTAACTAACACTATTTGTATAATACTTGTACTATTTCTTAAGACATTTCAAAACCTCCAGCTTTTTCAATTCTATTTCCTCCATTCGTTTGAAATGTTGCAGCATAGTATTCGTCTGCTCCGCCATTGTGGAACGCATTGCATCGAGGCTATCTGCGACGCGTGTCATTAATGCATTTTGAGCTCCACAGATGTCCTCAAGACTGTCCGTATAACGACTGCGCCTGCGATTTCTGTCAGCAAAATCTGCATCTAAATCGGCCGAGTGTTTGCGTTTAACTTTATCCTTATCCGCATTAACATTAATTGTGGGTTTCGACTGCTGAAGACGTGTTGGGCTTTGTTGCCCTGCTCCTACATCGACAATTTCATAGGATCCACACAGATCGGCTAGACTTTCATCTTCAGTTCTAGATTGAGAACTACGACGTTCGAGTTTGACATTCGATATGTCGTCCTGTTCGCTAGGATAGCCAGAGGATTTGCCGCAACTAATAATTTCCACTTTATCGTATAACCCACACAGATGGGCAATTGATTCCTCAGCAGGGTTTAGGACAACATGTTGATTTGGTTGGTTTTTGATTTGCAAAAGTTTCTTCTTTATGGATATTTTCCAATCAGACCAAACCTGTGAATAGAAATAGAGACTTAAAAATATATATAAATTAAGAATTAAATGTTAGGACCTTTTTCCATGAGGAAACATTCTTATAGGGAGGTCCTTCAGCGTTCAGATCATCCGCGAGACTACGCCATTTGCCATCCACAACAAAGCGTTCGCCATTTCCGAGTCCTTTGGCAATTTCCTGATGTTTGATCATAAACTCTATTAATATATTGCTCTGTTCTCGATTTTTGTGTGTGCGCCTGTAATATAAGCAATTGATTGTTGATCGTTGAGTAAAAGCTTTAACTTACACTTTGTTAGATTTTTTTCAATTTTTTTGTTTTCGGTGTTGCAAATGATCAATGGAAAAATATATAACCAACCAACCATTTTCACTTAATTATACACTTTTAACATAATTAATTTTAACTAGCATACTATTATTATTAGAAATGTATTATTTCTTAAAAAGTGAATGAATCAACTTAATAATACAATTTTAATTAAATTTTTTTATGAATATAGTGAAACTATTCTATTATTATAAGAAATGTATTACAGCCTACAAATTTTGCTCGTTTTGCAGCACTATAAATGCTCCGATTTTTTTTATGGCTACCATTTTTGAGCTATTTGTGTAAGCAGCATGAAACTGACATTTACCGGAACTTAATTTAAAAATAGAAAATATGTGCTTTTATAAAATCATAAAAGTATATAAAAAAAAAACTCAATTCAATAAATTGGCAATTTATAATCAAAATAAAAAACAAAACAAAATCTCTACACCAACCAGAAAAACCAGGAAAATTCAAAATGCGGACAAAATTCAATTACCGCAAATTTGAATGAATAATTGAATCTAATAAGGGCATTAACGGAATAAATTAAAATAATTAAACAAAAAATGGACCTAAAATATGCCTATGCAGTTGATTCAAGTTCACTCACTTCTTTGGCAAATTCTGTCCATTGCGTTTCTTCATGGACGACTTCTCTGCTTCCTCAAAGCTCTCATAATCCGTGCTCAAATCCTGCTCTATTTTGATGGGTCCAATGTAAATGTCCAGCGCCGTTGTTGCCAGTGGATCAGTCATTTGTTTTTCATCCCTCTCTGACAATAGCCCAGCGGTTTTGGTTAAGCTTGGCATTCTACGATTTTTACTCAACTCTTTTGGCGACTAACGAAAATTCAGTTTTGCCGTTGACAATTGCGGTACTGCAATTTCACGCTGGCTGTTAGCAGTTCCGATAGGTCAATTCTATTATCGATAACACAGTCAGCTGTGCCTGTAACAGAGGCAGATCAAGCAAAATGTTTAAATTCAGAATTCAAATATTTTAAATCATCTTCAAACGAACATTGTATATGAATAATTTATGACAAAATTAATAATTAATAATAAATATAGTTTAAATACATTATAAATTAGTGCATATATTTCTTTTCAAATTGAAAATAATAACGCTTGGGTCTATTATTTGGGTATACTTCCAATTTAAATATTATAGCCAATTATGTAAGTTACGTTGTAGACAGTAATCAGCCTAATACTGATTACATCTTGTGCATGATCCATAGCTAACATACAACTTTTTATCAGTCAGTTCTTAAATCAAAGTAAATGGATACAAACATTTTCACAACTTAAACTAACGTTCATTTAAATATTTATTACCCGATTGTTTGTATGGACATTTCAGTTTCCTATAGCCATAGTTAGTCTTTTTTGTAGTTATCTGATAACTAATTAAATAAATGTATACTTTGCTCCTGTTTGGCCTTCTTCTGTTTTATCTCGAGCTCCAAGAGTTCAATGCGCAGTTTACGCTCTCTGGCCTCGTCTTCGAGTTTGCTACGCTTCTCATACATTTCCAGTTCGTGTTTTTCCTGCGCTCGCTCATTTTCGCATCTACAGAAATCTTGCCGTAGCTGCAACAGCTTTAATCTCTCCTCGTCCAGGGTACTTTTAGGATTAGGAACTTTGTCGGGTAGTTTGTTATTGAGAACTGGAGGAGGAACTGCATTGGCCATATTACTGGTGGCCCACTTGGAACTCGTGCTGGTCAGATCGTCCTCCGATACGGCCATGTCATTAGCCTGGAAGATGTTGAAAATATAGACATAGCTGTGCTGAATGCAATTTCAATTCGCTTACATCCAGACCTCCTGATACGAAATTATACATCATGTCGTCGTCCTCCTCAAAGCTCTGCTCATTTTCCAGCTGACCTGTTTAAAAGAATTTATTTGTTATTATTTAATTTTTTTTTTTATAGCTACTCACATCCATCAGTCTCCAGGGCATTCTTTAGGCGCAACGCCGCATCTCCGATCATGGCAACAATTTTTTCCGAAACAGTTGAAACTATGGGCGTAACTGGTTCACCACCGCCCATGCGCTGACAGTGTGCTCGCTCCTTGGCCAGCTCCACTTTCGCTCTACGCTTCATATGCAGATATTTGTCCCTCAGCTGCCGCCATTCGCGGTTAACTCCAGTTTTCGCTACGAAATTGTTTGTCAGCTCTGCCCAGACTTCCTCTTTGTGCTTCCACGTAAATGCATCCGATTTCTTGTTGTTCAGCACATCGTTGCGCTCCTCGACAAGCTCTACCAGGATTAACTCCTCCTCCGGCGAGAAGTTTTTTCCACGTTTTTTAATTTTTTCACTGAATTTTACAATTTATTCATTTAATGTTAGACCACGAATATTTTTGGTAGGATAAAGAATGCGCCTAACTGAAACTTTTTTCTCTTCACTGAACTTCTGATAGGTTTAACTTACTTCTTTGGCTCTAGCTGTTCGGATATTCGAATTTTCTTCGCCGGCGTCTCCAGCTCTGGCTCCTCGTTGCTCTCATCATCTGTGCTCGTGCCCTGTTCGATTTTGATCGGGCCGATTTCCAAATCACTTGCTACCATCGGATCATTTATAGTCGCCAGATTCGGACTTGTCATTGCCTTAGTAATACATAAATATATTTTTAATTGCGAGCACAAAACAAGCAAATCACAAATTCAATACTGCAATTTCTCTTTGGCTGTGAGAATTCGATAGGTCTTCGATAGAAAACAGATGTTTCTTTTAAATAACATTCCCAGATGAGTGCAAATGTTCAATATTTCATAATTTTTAAAGTAAAACTAGCTGACACGGCAGCGCTTAAAATAAATATAACAAAAAAAAAAAAAAAAAAAAAAGCTGACACGGCAAACGTTGTTTGGCCATATCCATTATTTCTAGGCTTTGATAACAATAATACAAAAGAGTATTAATATAGATAGAAATATAATGGCAATGTCACTTTACCACTAAGGCAGTACTGGTGCAACCATATCGAAACGCTGTTCGATTCAAATCAATACTTGAATCATTTCTTTTTGCCGTTTCTTGGGCTGCCTTTCTTCGAATTAAGGCCCTTCTTTGCTGGGTTCTAACGCGGTTCTTTGCTCGCATGATTTCTCGTTCTTCGTCAGATAATTGACTCGCGATATTCCGTTGCCTAATTGCATTACGGGTCCGGCGGGAAAGATTAGATACTCTACGACGCGGCATTTTTATTAATAGTAATACCGAATATGCCCTCGCACAAAACCACATAAAACGATCGAGAAATATAAATATAAATTATTTACACAAATTTATGTTTGAGACAAACAAATACAACAGTACCTACCTGAACTTTCGAGATATTTAGCTTCTGTACGCTCACGTATTATTTTTCAATTTTTCAATCAAATGGGATTTTTTTTATGAATAGACATTCATTTACTTCGATACTATTGTATAACATGAGAGCAGGACCGAAAACTGTCACTGTTATCAAGCCTACTGAGTATCAATGAAAATTTGACAGCTCTGAAATTAAAGAGAAAACCCCGCGTTTTTCAAGTATTCGTCAAATTTTTTCAGTATTTTTAAGATCTATTATCCTACTCGTGGCGGAGACAAATATAACAAATCAAAAACCATGAAAATTGGTCCAGCAGATCTCGAGTTATAAGTGTTGGAACACTTTTACACAACTTTCTTTTATATATGTATATAATAATACATATATAGATTAACAGAGCGTTCAGCTCGCTGCCGATGCGCGTTGCAAAAGGTGAATTGAGATGATTATAGTTGCAACGTGCAACGTTCGAAGTCCTCGCCACCCATAAAGTAAATTTGTAAAACTTTATATGGTTTGGCATTGGTAACGCTAAATCGACTTTGTGGTAAACCTAGCCTTTGATTTTGCATGTGGAATAAAATGGTTGACCATTTGCAGCAGTATTTTTAACAATTTTCGTTGCTCCAAACGATGTGATTTGAAACCATGATTTGAATTTGTTGCCTTTCTTCATCTGATCTTTGTGTGTCTCTCTCTCTCTCTCTCGCTCTGGTCTCTCAAATAGCGACGATTCCAGTTTTGGTTACTAACCAAAATGGTTAGTTAGTGGCCCAAGCCGAAAATGTGACGTCACAACAGAGCTGTCAGCTAACATTAAGAGTAACAGAACTGTTCTTTGCAGAACCTACTGAGTTCCCTTAACAGTGGCTGAATGCTACAACATTTCGTTGTGAGTGTCAAACAGCTGCGCTGCTTAGTGAATGTCTGAATCGGGTCAAGTGTACGTGGATTTTAGACAGACTTTCACGGCACAGCGACGCGACAAACAAATTACAAAATAACTAATATAAATAGTGTAAATAGTAAACGATAAACCATAGTAACTTAGGATATGAAACCAATTAAATTTAACTAAATAATATAGATTCATACATACTATTGTAGAATACAATAAATGCGCCTGACTCAGAGCTGCTGATAAAACCAATAGAAACGAAAACGAAAAAGCAAGCATAACTAATTATTAATTATTGATAATGGCACCAACACGCAGGCCCAGCGATGGGTTATTGGCGCGCGTCAATTTTCCCCTCTACGCCGTCGATATGCTGACCAGCCGCCACATTCTGGTTGCCGGCGGAGGCGGCTCCAGCAAAACAGGCGTCGCGAATGGCTTCGTAAGTGTGTCGAATATGCTTAAAATGGGTCAACATTGCAGCACAATGGGGACCATAAATATAGTGCGATTAATAATTAACAATAACTGCTAACATTTTGTTGGAATTTGCTCTTCTTGATAGGAAATCTATGAGCTCTATCACAATGGCAGCCATTTTTGTGCGGAGGAGGTGCTCCGCCATGAGACGGGCGCCAATGTGGTCATGAATTTCGCAGTGCGCAACAGCGGACGACGCGCCTATCTGTGTGCCGGCCAGGAGGCGCATTGTCAAATGTATTATGTGCAGCCGCGTATCGAGTCCGAGGAGGATGAAGACAGGGATCGGAAGCCAGCTCCAGTGGAGCGCCCGCACGAGAATGGCGTGCGACAGCGTGGCGCTGCACACTCTGGCGTCGAGGCGCTACCCAATGGCCATAACAACAGACAACAGAACCAGAGCAGCGGTACCAGCAATCAGGAGCTGCTCGGCAAACTGCATCGGCTGCGCTTCGACATTCAGGCAGCGGATGTGGTGCAGACGGATTTCTTGAAGAGCGCCGAGCCGTTGCAGCGCGTGGTGCGCATCAGTGGCAATGGCCAGCTGATGGCAACCGGCGGCACCGATGGCCATCTGCGCATCTGGAGCTTTCCACAGATAAAGCTTATCAAGCAGCTGGCGGCGCATACAAAAGAAATCGACGACCTGGACTTCAGTCCCGATTCCAAGTGCATTGTGAGCATTTCGAAGGATGCCCAGGGCATTGTGTGGGACCTGAGCACGGGCAAGCAGCATTACAAGCTGCAGTGGCAAACGCCGGAGGGCGCTAAATACCTATTCAAGCGCTGTCGCTACGGCACTGTGGAGGCACACAAGGATAACTATCGGCTCTTCACCATAGCCAATCCGCTGGGCAAGGTGGGCAAGCAGCGGGGCTATCTACAGCAATGGGATTGCACGAGCGGCCAATTGCGGGCAGCGGTGCCCATCGATGAGAGTTTAGCCTCGCTCGCTGTGCGGGACGATGGACGCTTTGTGGCCGTTGGCACCATGTTCTCCGGCAGCGTATCCATGTACATAGCCTTCAGTCTGCAGGTGAGTGGGCCATATTTTTACCCAATTGGGGCACAGTAATTAATTGTCTGCCTATGACTTTTCAGCGTGTGCTGCATATTCCTCATGCTCACTCAATGTTTGTGACCGGGCTGCAGTTCCTGCCCATTACCAACGAGGAGGGTCCGCCCATATCGAGCGACACGGAAGCAGCCGTGCTATCCATCTCCGTCGACAATAAAGTGTGCATACACAGTCTGCAGCAGCGACGTAAGTTAACCCTAACCCAATGTACTCGATATACTCATTCGTATCGCATTTTGCAGGCACGATTCCCGCCTGGCTGGCCATTGTCTTTATGATTGTGATGATCTTTGTGGTGTTCGTGTTCTGCTCCTACATTGGCATTTGAGACTGTCTGGACTGGTGGTCGACCAGCGAAATCAATTTGCATTATTAGTTGATAAACAATGTTTAGTTTTGTAATAGACCCCATGCCCCTGCCCCATCTCCTCCTCCTCTGAACACCCCACTGAATATTATTTTAAGTGTATAGTTGTTTTTTTTTTTTGTGCCGGCTGCCTTATCTCTCGTACACTCCTCTCAAAGTCATTTTCGTTATTGTATCATAATTTTGCTTTAACTATCTCAAATTTGCCGTTGTAGTTAATATATATGTACATGTATGTATGTCAGAGTATTTAGCTTGCAAAGGAATTAATATTTAATTATATAAAACAAAGGAATAATAATAAATCAGGTGAATGCAGTTATATAGCAATAAATGGAATATTCATAACGAAATAATTTGTATATTTACTTACAAATAAATTGAATTGTTAACACAGCCAATTGTCTAATTAATCATGAAAATAGGTCTGTAATATTTAAATAATTTAAAAATGAGGTCAATCAAAGTTTACTGATTGGCCTCATTTTTAAATTCAAATATTACAGATGCCCGCGCAATTTACAAAAGCCATCCACATACATAGGCATTCATTCACAAGCATGTTAAAAGCCCTGCTCCAATTAACAGTCCACATGTTAATTAGCAGACAGATAGGGCTCGACCACTAACCACAGAGTGTTAAAATTATCATTGCCATTCACCAACATGTAGCAGGAGTGCTCCAATTGGCAGCCTTTTAGCCCTTTTGCTTTGTAGCTTTTAGATACTTCATTCATATTTATTGTTCTACAACTTCCACAAGCGAGCCCGAATGAATTCCCTAAACTTTCCGTAATTTGCAACATTGCCATTCTCCCAATTCGTTGACATGGTTACTCAAATAGGCACGGTTAACTGTTTTAATATATTTGGCGCCCTCTTCAAATAGATTTAAAATTTCCATAATTATTTTTTACGCAATTTATTTTTTATTATTATTTTGCTTGCGCTTGTAATATTTCATGCTACAATTTATATCTATATGTATATTACTTAGCGTTTACAAAAAATTATTTATGGCGCACACTTAATATGCGTTTTTACATCGACTTTTCTTGTTTTTTTTCTTTGTTTGTTGTTTTTGTTTTGTTTATTTAATATATTGTTGTGTTAAATTTTAACTTAATTATGCTTGCTTGCTCTTTGCTTATCAGTTCAATATTCTCCGTATAGTAAAAAAGTGTATTGAATTTTTGTGATTTACATTTAAAGTGAATTTTGATGTTTCAAATATTTCTTCTTTTTTTTTTGTAATTTTGTTTTGTTTTCTCTTTGTTTGTATATAAAATATAAAATGCATATCAAATTGATTTAAATTTTGTTTGCTTGTTTGGATGATGTACTTAATCATAATATAAAGTGATTTTGATGGGCGCGCATTAGTTACATAATCATATAATTGCATTTATAAATATGTATGTTTAGAATTATTTATATGTATTGTATGTATGTATGTAAATTAATTGTATTTAGTTGCTGTTGCTTTTGCTTTCGCTGCTGTTGCTTCTGCATTCCTGCCAATATGGCCTTAATTAGCATAAATAATTAATTGTATTCAATTATGAACGTAACGTATTATTGTTTTTCTTTTTCCTTTTCTTCACTTATCTCTATTGTTTATGGTTGAATTTCATTGTTTCTCATTTGATTTGTAGAAAAAGAAATGCAATGCCAATTGCTGCAATTGTTGACTTAAATAGAAAAACATAAATTTCAGAGAGAAACAAAAAGCAAATAATTAACAAAATACACACAGTTAAAATGGATACAATGTAAACGTAATAGGATATCATTTTTTCGTTCTTTTCTCTTAGTTTAGTTTAAAAACATATTTCTTTCGTACTCGTCTTCTTTTGTATAATACTTTTGGCATTTCTCGCTGCTAATTAAAAAAAAAAGTTAAACTATGCAAAGCGTGCGTGCATGCATATTATTTTAAAGTAAAACTAATTTCAGTTAGAATTTGTTGAACAGTCTTTATGCTGATTGATAGCCGCTGCCACGCCCACTACGAGGCCTTGGCAAACTGGATGACGGAGCTCATGCGCATCACCTTGGAGCCAGCGGAGTTGCCAGTGCCACCATCAGCACCACTCGCCGCTGATCCTGCCGATTCGTTGCCAGCTCCAGCTCCGCCCGCGCCTCCTGCTGCTGCAGCTGCTGCGGCAGCACTGTTGGAACAGCTGCCGCCCCCATTGCTGGCCTCGCCCTCATTCATGTAATGCTTGCGCTTGCGCAGCGGCAGCGTCATCACATTGCGATCGGCCATCATTAGGGAATCGCTTTCGGGCGAGGAGCTGCGCTCCGGCGACTCTGTGCTCGAGCGCAGTCCAATGGCCGCCTCAACGCGACGCACTATATCCGGATTGGGCAGGGAGGATCTGTGGATGAGTAAAATAACGATAATTAGTACCTATTGTTGAGGACGGGATTCGGATTGACTTACTCATAGAGCGGCACTGGCACATAGCCCTTGTGAAGTCCATGATTCACCAAATCGCCGCGCTTGAAGTGCTCGATCAGCACATTCGCCTCGTGCGTGTCATCATAGTTGGCCGCCAGATCGCTGACTAGTAAAGTGGGTTGCGATGCAACTGATGGCTGGTGCTGGGGCTGCGACTGCGACTGCGACTGCGACTGTGGCTGTGCTGTGGCCGCATGTCCACGTCGCAGCTGCATCATTTGCCAGGCAGCCTGCTGCACATCCTCATCATTGTCAATGACCTCATCGTGATCGCGTCTCGCTATGCTCGCCGCTTCGAGCAGTGCTGGATTGATAGTCAGCCCAGCAGCTGCTGCTGCTGCTCCTGCTCCTGCTCCTGCTCCTGCTCCTGCTGCTGTTGGCTGCAGCTCGACTAAGCTGGACGTCGGCTGCGGCTGATAGTAGATCATTTGTGGCTGCTGCGCTGCTCCTGCTGCTGCTGCTGCCGTCGACTGTTGCATGCTCAAGTCCGTAGGCAAATCCTCCTCCGCATAGCTGGGCAGCAGCTGCGCGCTGGCTACGCCGCTGTCCCGACTCAGTGCATCCGTTGTGGCCATATACTGAGGCGGCGTGGAGGCCTGACTGCTGACCGGCGAGTAGGTGGACGAGACGGAGCTGGGCGAGAGCGGCGCAGCAGCTGCTGCTGCCACTGCAATGGACTTAGCGCCGCCACGTGACTGACGTGGCTTCTTGACTGCCGGCGGCGAGCTGGGCGGCGAATTGTTGCTGCACTCGGAATTGCTGGCTATGGACGATGGCGAGCCGCTGGCAACTGACGTTGATGCTGCAGCAGGTGAAGCCGCTGCTGCTGCTGCCGCTGCCGCAGCCGCCTCAACCTCATCCTCGGGCAGCTCGTTGGCGTGGCCCTTGATGTGCGCCTCCATCTCCTTCTTGTTCTTGAAGGTCTCGTCGCAAATGGTGCATTTGTAGCACTTGGCCCCATAGTGCTGGACGCGATGCAGCTTGAGCACATGGTTGTAGCCAAAGTCCCGGAAGCAGATGTCACAGTGGTAGGGCTTCTCGCCCGTGTGGGTGCGCGAGTGCACCTTCAGCTGCTTGGAGCAGGTGAATCCCTTGCCGCAGCCCGGCTCCGGGCACTTGTACGGCTTCTCGCCGGTGTGCGTGCGCATGTGGATGACCAGCTGGCCGGACTGAATGAACGTCTTCTCGCACACGGAACACTTGTGCGGCCGTTCGCCCGTATGGATGCGCATGTGGCGATGCAGCTTGCCGGAGTGCTCGAACGCCCGCTCGCACACCTCGCACTTGTACGGCCGCTCCTTCGTGTGGATGCGCCGATGCACCTGCAGATTCTCCTTCACACTGAACAGCTTGTGGCAGAACTCGCACTCGAACGGACGCTCGCCCGTGTGCGTTCTATAGTGGCGAATCTATAGGAATAAGGAGTAAGGATTAGTGGCATTTCACTTGGCAGCGTGGAATATGAATGGAATTTGTGGAAATTTGCGTTTCCCATTGATCTACTATGCTGTAATTTTGGTAAACTTTTTAAATGAGCAAATAGATAAATTCACTCCTAGTTTAAGTCAGCTTTTTATTAGTAAATACATTTTAGACATCAGGCTCGAGTCTGGGTAAATGAAAGACTCAAAGGCTAGGGAAATATGCAAAAATGTCAATTTATATACTATGCATATATAATTTGAAATAAATTTTAAAAAATCAGAAAATTAAGTCTGTCCTAAATTGCCACAATTTTTCAGTTTGTGAATTTTATACAGCAGAGTGGAAAATGGGATAAAGAACTACTGAAAAGCTAGGCGGAAAAATTCGAGAATTAACTAAAGTACTCGTAGGAGGTTTCAGGTGCTCTAAATAGAAATGCCAATTTCATCTTAATAATCGAAAAAAAAAAAATTAGCGAAAAGACTCAAAATTGAATTTATTCAAAGCTTAATTTCAGAGCTGAACGCTGTATGAAATTGGCATTTCTATTTGGATTAGCTGAAGCTGAACATAAAAATCTATTCTGAGAATTACTTAAGTGCCTATATTTGATCAATTTTCCACAAGTTTATGTGGATGAGAGGATTACAATTACAGGAGTTACAAGTGTCAATCATCTAGTTGCGGAATATGCGCGAATTGGAAAAGGGAACATTTCCAAAAAAAAATCTATCTGCTATCAGCCAACTCATGTGGGATGAGGCTAACTAGTTATATTTTCTCACTCATTAGCTCCTATTCTATCCCCCTCTCCTTCCCTCTTCAACCTTCTCTCCATGCCTCCCGCAACTTACCAATCGAGCTGGCACCGCAAACGTCTTTTGGCACACATTGCACTGATAGGGATCGGCGCCGGCGGCAACGTTGGGCAGCGGCTTGATGGTGGGACTCTTTGGTATGCCCAGCGGCAGGCCGGCCTCGTTCAGTTCGATGGGCGGCGTTGTGCCCGCGGAACTGGAACTGGAACTGGAACTCGTACTGCTGTTGCCCACGCCCGAATTGAGGCCCATGGCAAGATCAGCGTTTTTCGCATGCGACTTCGTGTGGGACGTGTGGGCGGATTTGCTGCCAAAGGTCATGCCGCACTGTTCGCACTTGAATTGCGGCTTGTTGGCGTTCGGTTTGCGGGGCGTGGCAATTGTTGCTTTTGTTGCTGCAGCCGAAGCAGCAACGCTTGCTGTTGTGGTAGTTGCTCCATAGACTGCTGGCAATTCTGTTTTGACGCGATGCAGTTGCTGTGTTGTTGTTGCATCTGCAGCTGTTGTTGTTGTAATACTTTCATGTTGTTGCTGTTGTTGTTGCAGCACCAATTGATAGCTGGCAAGCTGTTGCTGTTGCTGCTGCTGTTGCTGTTGTTGCTGCTGCAATTGTCGCTGCTGTGGCGTCTGCAATAGCTCATAGTGCTCATGCTGGCCGCCAGGTGGCGCCACACCAATGCCTCCACCACCTGTCGCGGTGAGCGGCGTCTGCAGACAGAATTGCGTCTGACTGGGTTGCTCCGTCTTTATGAGCAGCTGATTAGCGGGATAATAGACCATGTTGGTTGTGGATGAATCTGAAGATGAACAAGAAGAAGAAGAAGAAGAGACGATAAATTAGTGAGCATTCATTTTGTAAAAATAAAATAGAATATACAAAAAAAAAATATGTACATACATATTAAATATTATAATAAAAAATGAATTTTTTTTAATATCGTTTAAAAATTTAAACATTATTTGATTAAAGCATTTTTAAAAGTTTGTAAGATAAACTAAGCCAAATTAAAAATTCGATAATGTATGATAAAAAAAAAATCCTTTTAAAACTCTTTCGATTGATAACCACTCAAACACTATTGGAGACATTCAATTTGAAGAGCAAATCTCAAGCTCTTCAGTGTTCAATGAAGTTTGAATAGTCATATGCCTATATGACAAGGGTTTTCACACTATCCAGATGGCTTAAGAGCTGTTTTGGATGTGTGCTGGAACCACCCTAGTTTTATTTTTTTTGTTTTTTTTTTGCTTTTGGGTCTTGACAACCTGCATTACGCATTTTCCTTGGAAGAAACAAAGCGCTGATGAGTAACAACGCAAAAGCCCAAAAGGTAGCCGCGTATACGGATATTTTGGATTATTGGGTGGTTGGGAAAACCCATTAAAGGGTGGGGGAGCAGCTCCCTTAACAATGACATGGGAAAAACCCACCCTACGTACTGCGAACTACGCAATTTTCTGTTATTGCCGGCCTAAGTTTTCACGAAAGGAAAAAAGAAAACGCATAAGCTTGAGGGGTAAACAAAGCGAAAGGGGAGAGACTGAGAGAGAGTGTGTGAGAGGGAAATATAGATACAACTACGCAATAGGGTGTTTCGTCATATTTCCCTAAATTTGGGGGAAATTATTTTTTATTCTATTTTTGCATCTTGTAAAGCTCGGAAAACCGGCTTTTGGTAGCTCTCTTGATTTGTTATTTTGATAGAACTTCCCCATCCTACGGCACGCGCCACACTTGCGTATACCAAAACAAAATGGCGCACGGCGAGTGGGAGCGCTGGGGGCGTTCAAAGTTTTTCCGGCTTCTTTCTTGAACGTTCCGTACTCTTTTACCTTTTGCATTTGTTTTCTTTTGCGTCGTTTTGGCTTTAGCTTTGGTTATATCCACCAAATCCGTTCCGGATTTATTTAGCACATCCTTAATCCAGTTCGGCTTGGCTGACCAAGTCTTTTTCTCATTGCTTCGTTCAGTCATTGTGATTTTTATTTGTTTTTATTTTTATTTTTCAATATCAAATTTTGCAGTCTGTTTTAATTGATGTTACGAAAGTCCAAAGTTCTTTTAAATGCAGTCCATAATAGTTTTTTTTTTTTTTTTTTGGTAATATGTATATATATTTGTTAAAGTTGGAGATCTTTTGTCTTAATATTATAAAGTTCTTTCGGTTTTTTATTTGAGGTAGTTTAGCGTTATATATTGCTTAATATTTAGATACACTTTTTACTTTAATTATTATTATATTGGGATATTATTTAGTAAAAACTTTTGTCAGACTCTTTTTTTCATCGATTTCGTTTGAGGTAGTTTAATTGCAAGTTCAGACTCTGTTTATATATATGTATATATATAATGTTTGCTTTTTGTGTAAATCAGTCCCGAGTTTTTACATAAGTCTTAAGTTCTAGTCATATTGGGCATAAAATATTTTATGTCATAACTTTACTGAATATTTTTTTTAAATTATTTTTTTTTTTATTGATCATTGGGTAAATAAATATTTCAATTTGCACTTTTCTCCGTTTTTCTTAAACAACGATTTTCATTTTGCGCGTAATTTTCGCCTTGATGACGTTTTTCTTCAAAATTTTGATAATTTTTTTCAGGTCTTTGGACTGTTGCCCTGTTGATGTTGGGGGCTGCTGCTGTTGTTGCTGCTGCGTTTGATGATGATGATGCTGGTGGTGGAGGTGCTGGTGATGATGATGATGATGATTGTGTTGGGTTACCAAATGACTGCCTTGGCCTGAACACCGTTGCATGCGCATTTTTCTAAACGATCTGAGGATTTCATTCATTGAGAAATCAGTCATTTTCGAGCTCCACTCGTACACACGCACACGCACGCACACACATGAAACACAAACAGACGCACACATACACACACACACACGCACACACACTGATTGACAGTTAGGGAAGTTGGAAACGTTGCGCAGTTGGTTCACATTGCCGCACGCGAAGTGGCTCGTTTGATGGTGCAGCGGAGACTGGTGGGTGAGTTGCCCAAAAAGTGTGTCGAGAACCCAAACTCCAGACCGAAAAGCAACCACCACCAACAACACCAGCAACAGCATGAGTGAAACGTCCCATTGATCTGTGATGTTAAGAACAAATTTCCCAAAAGTGCGCGACGCGCATTCAATTGGAAAAGCGAGTTTTTTGAGTGGTTTCTAATTTGAGTGACGTTTGAAAGGGCAATTCCAATTGGTACATTTGAGGGGGAAAATTTGAGTGAAATTCTGCGCTTACTGAGCTAAACGCACCAAATTGGATATTTTGATTGGGTAATTATTTGAGCTATTTCCCATTTAAGCGACTGTATTAGCAATTGGGAAATTTCTTGCATTTTAGCAGGAAATTTGTAAATGAGCGGAATGTGAGGTGCCGGGAAACTTGAGTGGGACACTTATTGGTTGGCATTCCTTATTGGATTTATGGGACTATGAATAGTGTTTGAGTACTTTCGAATTTAGAATATAAAACATAGTATATCAGGTATGACTCATATCGAATGCGGAATCTAATCATATTGATAAAGAAAAATTCAACTGAATTTAATACATAGTACTCCACATAAATAGAGCAGATATGTATATATACACTTTTACGATATAACTAGTTAATATCAATAATATGATATAGATAGTTACTAGCAATAATAAAGCTAAAATATTCCTTGATTAGATTAGATCCTAGACTGGACGAACTGGAAACTGGGCCTAGCACAACAACTCTAAAATAGTGTAGAGCACTTAGGAGATTCAATAGAGAGTGTGAGGGGAATGGTACCAAAATAAATCATGTCAAAGTTCTATTAACAAATTTGCCATAAATAGCATCTGCTGATAATTAATATAATCTAAAGATTTCTAATCAATTATATATACATAAGTATATATATAGCGAAACAAATATGTAATAATATATATATGTATTTAAATATATTTGTTTACACTTTAATGTGCACAAAATATATATAAAACAGATTTTTAGATTTTATATTTTAGATTTTTTTTTTTTTTTTTTTTTTTTTTTTTTTAAACTTAAAAACTTTTAAAATAAATATATATTTAAAAACATTCAAAAATCTTTTAAATTAAATATATTATACAATAAATAATTTTGAATAATTTTAATTTTTTGAAATATATAGAACCACATGAAGTTATTTATTGTTTATTTATACAAGATTCTCTTATTCAAATAAATTGATTTTCTTTAACAGATCCAAATCTATATATGTATGTACATATGTATGTATGAATGGAAACTATAACAAGCTGTTTCTTCATCTTCTTGACTCAGTTCCCACCGATCTTAGCCCAAGGCAAAAGAAATCAACTCAAAATATGAAAAGCGCCAAAAAGCATGAAAAATCAAATGTGTAAAACTAAGAATATTCTTTCTTTTCGTTTTTTTAAGCAAGTTCAAGAAACTTTTTCAAGTTTTGTGTTGTTTGTTTGTGTGCATTTATGTGTTTGTGTTTGTGTTGGACTCTGCCTCACACAATTCGTAAACTGGCGCAAAAGTTCATTAACATTCGACACAAAAACTATTTTCGTGGGTCTGTTGAAACGAAAATTAAATACGTATGTATGTATCCGTATTTATCTCTCTCTCTCTCTCGCTCTGTCTGTCTCTTGAAGGTAAACCCAAAAGCAACAACAAAGAGTTTGTCTCTTTATCTATTTAAGAGGTTAAAAACACTACGAGCGCACAATAAGAGCTCGGTCAATGATCGTCGAGATCTATTTGCCCTCCCCCTCTTCAATCACACTCTCTCACTCACGCTCTTTATCTCTCTCTCTCTCTCTCTCTCTCTCTCTTTCTCTCTGTCACTGGGAAATGTTAGATACACATGTTTCATCTCAAATTAAGCTGTTTACCGTTATTTTGTTGGGATAGCTCAGAAATGGAGCGCGACGCTTTAAAACTGGTCTTGAAAAAAAAAAAAAACAACAAAAAAGTCGAGCGTGCGAGAGAGAGAGTGAGAGAGCGTGATCAGTTTGTTGGATAGATCAGTAAAGTGAACAGTTATAGGTAAGCAAGAGATGCAGCAAAGAGAAAAGGAGGTGGAGCTAACAGGGCAATCCAAAGAAAGCTGCACTTAGAACATTCCGGAATCTGACCTTTTATAAGTTTTTATAGATTAATACATATTTCTATGAGTTTTTAGAGAATTTTAAATATGTATGTACATTCATGGTGCTTTTATAAACATATACAAATACATAATTATTTTTATTTATTATATGTAATTATAGTTTTAATATTTATAGTTTTAAATTACGATAATAATATATATTTTTTATTTATAGTTTAAAAGTTGTTTAATCACACATTTTTAATGAAAACAAAAAACGATAAACAGTATTTTTTTAAGATTAGCAAAAATTTCATTTTCAAACTTTTGTAACCTTTGATTTATTAAAATAATAAAATCATTCTTTTCAATTTGTTTACGAAAAAATAACTTTATATTTATGAAAAATTATTATATTGATTTTATATTTCTTTAAAATATTAAGTTTTCTTTTCTAAATTTGTGGTCTCATAGGTTTTTTACTATGTCATGTTCATCTACATCCCATAAAAAAAATCCACTTAAAGATCTGAAATAGCGTTTGAAGTATAAATTAAAGACATTTCAAGCAATTAGTAGTGCTTCAAGAAATAGCAAAAGATCGAGGCACACACCTCTAGAAAGACAAGTAAATATATATTTACATAAACGTACAGATACTCACATACATATATATAGATATATGTATGCTCTATGGGGAGCTACAGCTCGATGTTCATGGTTTTTATTTCAGTTCTTTTTTATTTTTTAGTTTTTTTTTTTTTGCGAGGTCAATGTACATTTAAATAGACGCAAATTGTAAGCTTTTTTCTCTTTCGCTGTCTCTTTCTCTCTCCCACCCACTGGGATTTGTTTACGTTATATGTCTGGCGTATCCATTACACAAATATCTAATAGGAACATTTCTTGCTCTGATAAGATATTCGCATACATAATTATTTGTTTAGTCTAGCCGAAAATTGTCGAATATTGAATGAACTTTTGTTGCGGAAATTTTTTAACAGTAACAAAAATGAAATGAGCGATAAGATATTGATAACGAGACAGAAGCGTGCGGTATGTTACTTAAGATAGAAACGCGTGACTGGGAATTTTTGGTAAAAGTTAATGGAAATTCCTAGAAAAATTCATATATCGCTTGATTATGGAGCGATTCAGAAGAAAAATTAAATAAAAGAAGTAAGTTTAGTTTCATTTTGAAATTCGGAAGAAAATTGAATAAAAATTACCCTTTCTATCAGTAGCAAAAGTAAATAAATTATACAGTTTCAGGTAAGAATTCTATTTGTATAATTGTGTTTCCAACTAGAATATCGACTTATTTCTAATCTATAATAATTTAAAATTTTGCTCAATCGGATTGCATTAAGTGTTTGCCCTCATGTAATCAAGCCTTTCACCTGAAGGATTTGTCCTTCCAGTGTCCACAAACAAATAAAAATTGCGAAGGTCTAGACGATGAGATTAAACAGCAACGTCAGAGCAGAGGACACCAGCACCAACACACACACAGATTCATATTCATAGGCATGCCTATTTATTGTCTATGTATGCGTGCGTACATACCTTTGAGTAAACGAGCAAACGAATGACGGACGTTGGCAAAGGAGAGAGGGTAAGAATCCAACAAATTATATACCCACACACACACACATACACACGCACACATTCATACACATAGCGGTTGGCCTAGGTCAAAACGACGCGACGCTACGTTTTGAGCGCTGAACGTGTTCTATTAGACAGCAGACGGGGGTGGGTGGGACGTCTTTAGACGGCGCGTGTGCAAATTAATATAATAATAAGTTTAATATTCCAGCATGACTCTACACTTTTCCAATAGATAATCGACAACACTGACGCCATTTGTCATTGTAATAACATTCAACAAATATATGTACATATACAAATATGTACATATGTATGTATGTATCTATAAATGTTTTTTTTTTTTTTTTTTTGCATTAGTTGGTGAAATTAAATATTTTCATGTCAAGGTAGAAGGCGAAAGGAAATCAAGGCTGCCAGCAAAAAACAACCCTCATAATTTTCACTTTCGCAATGGCAATGGTAGTAGCAGCACCAGCCCCATGTGCAAGCGGTTCCCTTTCATTTAACAGCCTCGCTTTCCAGTCACCTTCCCATCCGCCCACCGTTCAGCCTGCAATCGGCAGCAGCAACAACTACAGACAGCATGCTTACTCACTGCACAAGCGAGCTCACATAAGCAGACACACGCACACACACTGCGACAGTTGCGCATTGCCTGCTTGTGGCTAATGTTGAAAACTCATGCACAGCCTCCTTATGGGCGCGCACACAGAACCAATGTAAGAGCGCCAGCCACCAACCAATGTGCTGTCGAAAACACTTGCACGCCCTCCACGTGTAGTTCAAGTTCATGACAAACGACGAGCACACGAGCGATATGCAAGCGAGAGAGTGTGAGAGAGAACGTTGTGTGCGAAGTGTGAGCTTGCGTTGCTGTCGCTGCTTTTGTATGTTGTCTGCAGTTGACGTCAGCGTCGCGTCGCTGTCTCTGTCGCTGTCTACGCTGACAGCGCCGTGCAGTTTTCTGACGGAGGGCGAGTTCTTCTATGTGCATGCCTATGAGTGAGCATGTGTGTGTGTATCTATGAGTGTATGACCGTTGCAAAATTTGCATTGCATACTTATTTCAAAGAGCTTGTTAAATAATCTAGAATAGTGCATATGCTAGGCATTTTTTGGTAATTACAGTTACAAATTACGAAAATTTCATTTACATTTTGATAGCTCAGCGTAAGTCGAATCGGCGACAAAGCAACCTCATTCCGCGCTCGCCATCCAGAAGGGTCAACAACCTAACGAAAAGCTCATGACGACGATAATACATTTTATATTTTCGTATGTATTTTCGAAAAATGTAAAGAAAAGAAATCCGAAAACAAAGTGAACATGTTCACACACACATATATATACAATGTATATATACATACGCATACATATGCGTACATGTGTATGTGTGTGCGTGTGTTTGTAAAAAGAAATGTGAAGCTTCCAGTCAGAGTCGAAATTTCAGCTGCTGCTGCCAAACTGGGCGATCGTGTTGTTGTTTCGCTTTGTCGTTGTCGTTGCGTTGGGATCGCCACAACAAGAACAACAACCACACTCAATACACAAAAATTTGTGAAAACCTCAAAATAAATACATGCACACACACTCACACACACATGTATAAAATGAATAATTCGATACCGAAAAAAGAGGCGGCATGCAAAAGTGTTTTTTTTTTTCTTTCGCCGTTTTTTCATACGTGCCGAATTTAATTTCTTCTTTGTTCGCTGCTGCAAAAAAGGGTAAAGGAGAGATGTGAAGAGAGCGAGCGAGAGAGAGAGAGCGAAGTGAAGATACTCCAGCAGACATATTGAATTAGCATTTCGTGTCATTATTGTTAAATAATTTAATTAAATGTATATTTATGACTTGACAAAAGCAAAAATTACAAATTTTAAGCGAGGTGTGGTTCTAGAATTTTGGTTTACACAGCAAGAAATAAACAAGTTTTCGAGTGTGTAAATGAGCATGTGATGTTTGTATGTATAAGAGATACATATGTACATATGTACATATTTATAAGAGTGAGGAGGTTGAGAGGTTGAGTGAAGGGGCCCGAACTTCCGCTAATGAAAATAACATTATGATTGAATTTTTGGAGGCGTTGCAGCTGGGTGTGACAGATTGTATAAATATGTATACATATATATATTTTATATAGGTTTGTCAATTATTGAAGATCTTTTAATAAACAAATTAACAACAATTAGGTATTCATTTTATTATTCTGTATG